GCAAATACGAATTAATATTTAAACCAAAACATACAAATAAAGAAAGGAAAAGTACTATAAAATGAATAATTTGACCTCTGTCATGCTTTGACCTATCTTGCAGTGCATTTCCTATGATACAAATTCATCAACACTGTATTTTACAGTGCTTGTAAATGATTTTGGGGTAAAAAGCAGCTTTTTCATTCATTTTTGAAGGAGATGTTTTATCTTCTGTTAGTGTTTATAATACATACAACATTCTGGTTGTTTACTTAGCAAATTTGTGGAAGATTCCATATGACTATTATGTCTTTCAATTTATAGTCTTTAGTAATTTTATGTAAGAATTTCTTGTTCATGAAAGTCTGTTTGAAGATTTGAGTGCTTGTGTTGGTAGCAATAGTTCAGAAGAGTAAAATTTATGGAAATGTTGAGGTGGAACTAAGATAAGTGCTAAAAATTGATCAGTAATATTTAATACTGCTAATAAAGTTACCTTTGCTTTGAAACAATGTTATTTAGATATTTTGATTCATAGTCAATCAGATAAATTGAGTCACGATGCTGTGAAATGTGTAATTCAATCTTGATTTTATTAATAGCTCAGGCAATGATATCTTCCAACAAATATACTTTTTCACCCATTATTTCAATGAGTTCTGTTCACCATTCTTTTCATTTGTGGACACACGTTAAATTAACAAATTCTGAGAAATATTTATTGTTGGTTACTAAAATGACTACGTTTGGGAAATCTTAGTAACTTATTTTCTCAGGTATTATCTGAATGTTAGTAAATGTTTATACAGTAGGGTGATAAGCTTACGTATTTGTCATGGTGCTGCAGAATGACAGCAGTCTTGGGTTTCATACCTCTGCTGAATAATGAAAATTTTGTCAGACAGTTGTCCGTGGTGTAAGATTCATCGTATAAAGTAACAAATTGGCTGTGATCACTTAATTCTGCTCAACTTGGCCTATGCTTTGATACACTTTAATTGCATCCTCCGTATTAATGCTGATTTTATGTCACTGTAAAACTTCTCTTTCCATCTTAGATTTAAAAATCTAATCCATATGTAATCTGCTTGTTTTGTTTAAAGACATGATGTTTAATGTTAGCTCAGCTAAACTCTTTCCTGTGCTGCTCTGAGTGTTTTACAGTAGGCAGTGCTGGTCCATTATTTAAAAGAGAAACAGACTTGGTAAGGTATCTTTGAAATACTGCTTTCTAGAGCTTATGTTTTAGCTCTAGTCTTAGCATATAGTCTTATGTCCCTTTATATTATGGGAACCCAGAAAGATGAAGCACTGAACTGGCAGTGGTCTTCATGCAGCACATTGGGCATATCCTGGCTGCAGAAGGGATTTCTCTCTTTTGGTCGCTAGACCTTTTGCAAGGGTGGCTCCCAAAGTAACGCCTCCTTTTTATGTCATTTTTATCATGTTGGCCCACAACATATGAGGCAGATGTTGGTGTTATGGCAGTAGAGGTTGAACCTTTCCCCCAGTATTCTACTATATTTTATTGCCATGTGACATATTACAGCAGAGGAACAGTCTGATAAAATGGTGTGTGACATGGAAGTGCATCTGAAACAAAGGTGTGTCATTAAATTCCTCCATGCATTAAAAACGGCACACATTCATTGACGCTTACTGAATGTTTGTGGATACCAACAATGGATGTGAGCACAGTCTGGCAGTGGGTGGACAAAAAATTATCCCAGGCAGTGTTTCTTTCATGAAGTTTCCTGTTCAATCAGTTGATTTTAGCAGAAAATGTTTAATCCCTTGCCTTTTCAATCAATTCAAGAATATAGAAATAATTTAGAAGCTGAAGAATAATGAGGCTAGAAGGCTGAATGTGTATTAAACCTGTCATTTATTTACCATGTCTACAGTAGTGAACACCTTGTACAATGAATCTGCAGTTGAACTATGAGCTTCCTGGGTGTGAGTGAGCAACTGGGTGTGACTGAACAGCTGAGACGTAGTTGGACATTCAAACCTTATTCACCATAATTCTTCATCTATCTTCCTATTCAGAATTTATATGTGAATGTCCACCAGTAAACTGTTAGCTGACTTCTGCATGGTTTTAATGTAGATCAAGTTATTGTTCTACGTATTACAAACATCAAAGCAGAATTTCATTTCTAATCTAGGAAGGAATCTACTTCCAAAATTCTTGAAAAAAGATTTTTTTTTTAAGTTCAACTTATAGGGGTGGGAGAGGCATTTTGTGGACACATTTGAGCAGATTAATAAATAGTATTTGTATTTATCTAACCAAAACAGTAATTTATCAGGTAGGAGACAGATGCAAGGGAATAATATGCCGATCTGCATATACAGTTGTTTTGTATTTATGATGAACTGCTGTTTATTCAGGGCCAGTGTAGCTTGGCAGCATCACAACTATTATAGCATATGACACTGTGTTTAACTTGAAGATAAAAAAACCCTCTCAAATACAAATAGGAACATAAGGGAGAAAATAAAGTTTCTGGTAATTTCTTCACTAGCAATTTTCAGAACTGATGACTGAAGTGGGACATTTGCTCTTCATGTGTTATGGCCCCAAGAAAAAGAATGGATAACTTACACTGCAAAATCTAGCTAATTCTACATTGCACTAGTCTTAGGGGAATGATGCTTGAGCTGGGGGTAAGGCAGATGATTCAGCTGAAGTGCATCTATGCCAATGCTCACAGCATGGGCAACAAGCAGGAGGAGGTGGACGTGATTGTGCAGCAGGCTATGACCTAGTTGCTATTACTGAAACATGGTGGAACCACTCATGATGGAGTGCTGAGATGATTGGCTACAAGCTCTTCAGAAAGGATAGACAAGGAAGGAAGTGTGGTGGTGTGGTTCTTTATATTACAGTGTTTTGATGTTGAAGAGTTGGGAATGATAAAGTTGAGTGTCTGTGGATAAGGACTGGGGGAAAGGCCTGTAGGGGTGACATCTTGGTGGGGTCTGTTACAGACCATCTAATCAGGATGCAGAGAAGGACGAGGCATCCTGTGAGCAGCTTGCAGAAGATGCACATTTGCCAGCACTGGTTCTCATGGCAGGCTTCAACTTCCCTGATATATATGGGAAGTATAATACAGTAGAGAGGAAGCAGTCCAAGAAGTTTCTAGAGTGCGTGGAAGACAGCTTCCTTACACAGCTGGTATAATAGCCTACTAGGGATGATGCCCTGCTAGACCTGCTCTTCAGTAACGAAACTGATGAGGGATCTGGAGAAAAGGTCTTATGAGAGCAGCTGAGGGAGCTGGGATTGTTCAGTCTGGAGAAGAGGATGCTCAGGGGAGACCTCACTGCACTCTACAACTTCCTCAAGGAAGGTTGTGGTGAAGAGGGATTTGGCCTCTTCTCCCAGGCAACAGACAGGACCCAAGGAAATGGTTGCAAGTTGCTCCAGGGGAGATTTAGATTAGACATAAGGAAGAACTTTTTCTCTCAGAGAGTGGTCAGGCACTGGAATGGCTGCCCAGGGGGGTGGTGGAGTCACTGTCCCTGGCAGTGTTCAAGAGGCGTCTGGATGAGGAGCTACGAGATGTGGTTTAGTGCTCGTGGCAGCAATGGTAATGAGAGGATGGCTGGACTAGATGATCTTGCAGGTCCTTTCCAACCTTGTGATTCTATGATTCTATAACTAGAGCCACTGTTGTGTATTAGTGTTTCTATTTTCACCACAGATATGGATGGAAAGAGTAAGAAAAATGCACTGACCTCTAAATTCCTTATCTTATTTCAGGACTGCCTGTTACACAGGAATCTTATTGGTGATCTGAAAGCATTCATATATAAATACAGGTTTGATGTACTTGTAATTTTGGCCAACTCTTTGTCAGATGAGGAGCAAACAAAACGGCAAATAGCAGTATACTCGGAAAACTTAGAGCTTGGCAATCAAGTAAGTACCTGGAAAAATAATTTAGAAGTATTTTGCTTTAAAAATAGTGATTTTTTTTAAAGTATATGCAAAAGTTTAAAAACTAGGTGGATACAAGAAGTAACTACAGTTGGCTGGCAATGGAGTAGCAATTTGAAATGACTGCATTATAAATGTGATGTGAAATGCAAGATTGTGTTACTCATGATTGCTTCAGAACAGCCTAATAGAAAGATTGGATAGTCACTGGAAGTACAGTAAGACTGTACAAAACAGAATTATTTATTTTTTTACTGGTTTTGGCTTGTTTTTCTATTTTAATGTGCAATACACAATGTCACATAGGACAGTGACTGTGATCTACTCTTTTACAATGGGTCATGAACAATCATATAAATGGAACTGACCAGATTTCATATCTGTGTATTTTATCACTAAATAATTTAAGCTCTGAAATTAAGCCAAATTATTTCTAGAACAAAAGTTTATCCAAAGTCAAATGTTGTCTTTTTCCCATGCATTTGTCCCCAAATTGAGGAAATTACCACAGGGCAACTCCTTGTACCTTTGTCTTTTTCTTAAAACTTCTCATTTTAGAAACAGGTACCTAAAGGACCCTATTGCTTCAGGATCAACATAAATGTTTTTATTTTATGAACTTGATTATTCTAGAAATTCTTCTCTTACATACCCTTTATATATTTTACTCAGATTTCTTAAGGCAATAATTAAGAATTTGGATTTTCTTTTACTAATGAAAAATAAATTTGGAAATCAAATTGAATCATTTCATGTAAACATTATGATCAATTGCATAATATATATTTTATACCAAGCTTTTAATATTTCATCGATTTAGTGTGTAAAATGTCTGTTGTAGATAAATTGGAATAGATAGCTATGACTGTGTTGCACTGTGGAATAGACTGTGACCTGCTCCCTATGATTGTAATTACTTTTTAAACGTCCTGTTTTTCAACAGATTTGCTGCGAATTAGAAGAATGTCAAAATCCTTGCTTGGAGCTGGATCCACTGGAGTGTGGATGTGACCAGATTCTTATTTATCATCAAGAAAATTCTTTGGTTACCTGTGATCAAATTTTTCTTCTCATTAAGGAAGTCATGAATAGAAGACAACCAGAAATGGTATCAAACAGTAGAACATCTTCTACTGAAGCTGTCGCTGGAAGTGCTCCTCTTTCACAAGGGTCTTCTGGTATTGTGGAGTTATATGGTTCTGATGTGGAACCACAGACCAGTTCTGTCAACTTTATAGAAAATCCTCAGGATTTAAATGGATCCATCCAAGCCCATGTTGATCTTAATGTAGACCTTGTGAGTCCAGACAGTGGCTTGGCTACCATTAGAAGCAGCAGGTCTTCCAAGGAGAGCTCTGTTTTCCTTAGTGATGACAGCCCTGTTGCAGAAGGTGCTGTTTCCCATCATAGTCTTCTGCCTGGCTTTGATTCCTACAGCCCTATTCCTGAAGGAGCGATAGCAGAAGAACAAAAACCTCAATCTAGAGACAGCAGTGGTAACTTTGACCTTTTCAATTTTGATCTAGCACCAATGGTTACAGCTCCATCTGAATCCTCTTCTCATTCTGTTGACTGTTCTCCAGCAGATGACTATTTCCTTAATAGTGATTCATCAGAAGGGCAACAACTTGCTATGCAGAAAGAACATGATGAAACAAACTTGCTAGAAAGCGATACGGCAAATTATTCAACTGACTTAGTTATGACAGCAAAAAAGGAAGATAGTTTAGCTGAATTTGATGTGAGTCCAGGAGAAATGTTTGAGAAAACTTCAAGTTTGATTAGTTTAGTTGAGGGTGATACTTCCTCACCAGAAATGTTGAAATCTGCTGATTCAAGAATTCCACCGACTCCAATGAACAGTCTTGTAGAAACTTCACCACTAGATAATGGGCAGCCTTTATTTTTCCCACAAGAAGTTATTAAAAAAATAAATGAAATAGAGGACACAAAGTGTTCTCATTCACGTGTCAGATATGGAAGCTGGTGGGATGGCTTTGACTTAGAGTCCCGAAATGCTGATACATGGAGTTCAAGTGAACAAGAATCTGTATTTCAAAGCCCTGTCTTGTGGAACAATTGTAAAGCAAGCCCACTGCTACAAGGACATATTGATAGAAGAGCATCAGATTCTGTTTTCCTCCAAAAACAGCCTGAGCAAATGGAATACACGACAACAGATCTGTGGGATAATCAGTTTAAACTAAATGATCAAAAACAAGAAAAAAAAGAGGAAAACAGTGAACATTTGTGTTTGCAAACTGCTTCTTCAGAGGGGACAGAACAAGAATCAGAGAGTTTTAATGGTGCATGGAAGATCAGTCAGCCAACACCTGTGATGTCAGATGCATGGTCCAGTGGAGAAGGAAAAGGAGACTCTTACGATGTCTGGATGAAGTTTGACGCAGAAAATATTGCTAGATCCTCAGAAGAACTATGGAATGTGTCCAGACTGGATAGACAAAAAAAATCAGTGAATGTTCCTGAGAAATGGACCATAACAAAACATAGTTTATCAGATTCTTCAGAAATTGTAGCAGACAATGAGACTGAAAACTCACCTACCCAGGTATCTCTACAAGCCTGGGATAAAAAAAGATGTTATTCCCTAGAAGAGAGTCAATCATCTGAAAATACAAATTCTGATATCAACAATATGCAGAATAACTCCACATTAGAAACAGAGAAAAAAACTCTATTTGGTGACCCTAAGAACAGGCCAACACATCTTGAAAATGTAGAGACCTGGAATAGATATGATAAAAACATCAGGAAAGAGGTAACGGAAATAGTGGTACCCTGGGATGATACCTTCTTGTATAAACACTCAGATCTTTGCTCATCAAATATAGGTGAAGACTTAGCTGTTTCTCCACCAGACACCAATTACTCAACATCTGATTCTAATATATCACCTACATACGTGGAAAATGGAAGAGAAAATGAGGGTGGAGATTTTGCCCAAGAAACAACTACTGATAAATTGATAAGCCCAAATTTGGCTGAACCGAAAGAACTTGAGAAAGCAAATAATGAACTATTGTCTCCTATAAACATGCCCTTTTCAAGATCCAAAGACACAGACATTTGGAGCACGCTCTTAAATAATGTTGATGCCCAATTACAAGAAAGAAATTCGAACAGTACTGCTCTTTCTACCTCTGCTAAACTGTTACTTAATTCAGAACAAGCAACAGATCAGTATTTTTCAACTGAGGTGCATACCAATGAAAATACCTTTTCTGCATTCGAAAACAAAAGAGTTACAGCACTATACAATCAAACAGTGAATGACTTATCACTACCACAGAATGAAGGAAATACTGCACAAAGTTTAGCTGCAAATATAGAAGCATTGAGCAGTGCTCCTGTAGAAGACACAGGCACATCTACACCAACTTCAGATGCTGGAAATAGTTTGGATCTGAAAATATGTGATTTAGAAAGTGAGACACCGAGTAAGGAGCCAGCACAAAACACTCCAGATGTTGATGAAAAATTGAGTAGTCAGCATTTAGAGCAACATCTTAACTCATGGAATTTACAAACTGAGCAGGATTGTGAGAAAGGCTGGGACAATGCCATTGTCATCTCTCAGGAAGGAGAAGAGGAATATAAGATAACAGATGAGACAGATGGAAAACAAACTATTACTGACATTTGCAGCAAACCAGCAGAAGACAGCAGTGAGCCTTCATGTAACACAGATTCAGAAGACAAAAGGTCAAAATCTGAGTTTTCTAGATCGCTAGAAAAAATAAGGACTAGTTGTAGTTTGGAAGACTTTGTCACAGATAATGACTCATTTTCCAATCAGAGTAATCTAATCTGTCAAGAGGAGAGGAAGGAATTGTCACAGAATGATGCAGAGTCTTCTTCAAGTGCTTCTGAGGAAGACAGAAATTATGAATCTCTTGGTGACTCCAGACCACAAAGTTACAGTTACAGTGAAATATTACAGCCTCTTACTGAGAAAGATGAAAAGGAGACTGTAGTGATAGAGGATGCAACAAGTCCTGAGACGGAAAGTATCTTTGAAAATAATTCTTCTAAAATGCCTGCAAAGTCAGATAGCTGGAATGACTCTGGAAAGAATGACTCTGGTTGCCACTTACCTATGTCAATTCCTTTGATGAATGAACCATCAGAAACACTGGGAGATATAATAGAGGGCTCACATAAAGTGTTGAACCACCCACACATAAGCAATTCTAAGGTAGTGTCTTTTGAAAATAGCTCAGAACTAAGCAGCACTCATGAAAATATTTTCATAGATGAGTCTCCATCTACTAAATTTAAGAAGAGTCCTTCTGCTGGTTATGTCAGTGTTCCTGACATCACAGGCATATCTATGATGGATAATTCATTTTCACATGATATAGCTTTGGGGAAAAACGAAAATTCTGAAAATTTAGAATCTGCTGATAAGCTTTGCAGGGAACTGTGTGTAACGCTTAATAACAGTTTTCCTGAAACTGCTTGGAATTTACAGCAACATGAGGATTTTAAATCTCCTGGAACAAGTCCTGAAGCAAGTGAAGTCCATGAAATGGCAACCACCACAAGCAGCCTTTCAAAGGATATACAGATCAGAAGTTATTTGGAGGAAGACAATGTATGGAGTGATTCAATAGATGATTATACACACTCAAGTGGAACGAGCCCTGATTTAAGTGATGCATCAGTGAATGTGTGGGGAGAACTTCCAGTTGACAGTAATCACAAAGAAAAAAAAGATATGTGGGATAGTAAAAATGATAAAAATCTTAAGGAGGCTTGCAAAATCAAAGACTTTGGGAATAAAGATCAGGAACAATTTGAAGAAAGCACAGCACAGAATAAGGTTCCCAAAAGCTTAGATTTTTGGAATGCTCATGTAGATGATGATACTGTATCTTCTTTATCAAGTCCGGAACTAAATGAGGATTCAGAAAATTCAGAGGCATGTCCGGAAGAACTGAATGAAGATTCCACATATGAAAACAAGGAGCACAAATTATCTGAAATTGGTGCAGATTATGCAAAATCAAATGCAACAAGTCCTGAAGCAAATGAAGACAATTTGGATGCAAAAAATGAAGTGGCAGAAGACATCTTTGTAGATATCTTAAATAAAAACCCTGAAACTATTGAAGTTCAGAATGTATCACAGGAGGACTTTAACGTAATAGAGCATAATGAGACTTCTGAATATTTAGATCAGCGTGAAACACTTCAGAATAAGGCTCAAGTGAGTCCTTGCAGCGAAAAAGTGGGTAGCACAGAAGGTTCACATTTGTATCAGATGAATGCAGATAAAACAATGACTTCTGTTGGTGGTAAAAAAGAATACTTTGCAGAAAGTGGTATGTGGAGTTTGTCGTTGGAAGCTGATTTAGGAACTGATCAGAAATTCAGTGTAGGAACATTTGATTTTCCGTATGACAGTTCAGGATGGTGGAATTCACCAACTTGTGGAGAAAACCTGGTGGAAGACCAGAATTCAATTTCAAGTCACTCTGCAACATATCAAGTAACAAACAATAAGGAGGAGTCTTGTAGATCACCTGCACAAAATGAAGAGCTAACAGAAACGCATTCCACTGAACCAAATGATGGAAATCAGCCTGTTCACCTGTACTGTGATGTGGAAGAAAATGAAAGGCTGTTATATCCTATGAATCTTTCTGATAGCCAAGTAAATGAAGACACTGAGGAGTTCAAACAATATGATCCTTTTATACTAGATGATACAGAAGAAAGGGACTTGAAAGAGCAGTTTTTTCCCACAAATGAGAGTAATCAACTGTCTTCACAGAATACTTTTTCATATGATCAACAAGATATGTCAAATACAGCGGATCAAAAAACCATAGTACATGATCAACCAGAAGGCCATGAGGGAAATGCAAATCTCATCCTTCTAGAACAACAGCTAGACACTTGTGAAACAGTAGAACACAACCATCTGACAGCTTTCACTATAGAAGACTTGTCTTTTGAAATGACAGAGAAGTCAAGTCCAGTGTGGAATGTATTGGGTTCCCAAACTGCACTTATCCCAGATATTTTACAAGATAACACAAAAGAAGGTAATCAGTCATTTTCAATGGAACCTGACCTGTGGACTAGTGCAGAACAGCCTGTCACTTTGAAATCAGTTAGTGAAAATCCTGATATATTAAATCATTGTGAACAAGACAGTAGTTCTGAGGCGTCAAACAGTCCAGATGTGTGCCAAGAATATGAAGTTAAGCATGCCTCTATCCCATCTTCCCAGATTAGTGTAAAACCTGAAAGACAAGATAGTCAGATGACTCACATGCAGTCAAATAAGAGTGAAGAGATAGATTCTGACACAAAGAGTCAGTTTGTAATGCAGAAGACAGAGGCTGAATCTAAAAGTAATAGTCCCCAAGACTGTGATCAGGGAAAGACTGATGAATCATATCGGCTTATGTCTTCTAATTCTCAAGAGCCTCTCGAATTTGCAGTTTTGGAACATGATCTAGAAAATAAACCTGCTCTTAAGACAACTGAATCAGTCAACATCCCCAGTGAAGTTTTAGGAATGACATCATTAGATCTGAAAGATGCATTCCATGAAAGTTGTATTCCTGTAAGTTATCAAGGAACACCAACAGATTTGTCTCAAATGGCGACCTTCCAGACAAACTTGGTTCCCATGAATTTAACTCTACCTGCTAAAGCAGAGCAGAACTTGAAAGAAATTAGTGCCTTGGATGAAGCTGGAAAATATTCTGATATTGAGAAGGTAGCAATAACTGGTGATGACATACCAGCAGAGTTCTTGGATGAATCTGAGAAGGGTTTGGAACATAACATCTGTAACACGTCAGTCACTAGTATGACAGTGAGCACATGTGGTGAAATTAATATATTAGAAGTAGCAGGTAGTGAAGCCACAGAAGGAGAATCAAAGAATACACAAACATTCTTTCCCAAATCCTTTCTTCTTGGTGATAATGAGGGCTTTGAATCTAATTCAAATGATCAATTGAACATAACAAAAGGATGTGAAGACGTAATTGAGAAAGATGTTCCTATGTTTAAGGAAATGCTCAGCGACCAGTCACTAGTGGTGTACACTCCACCATTCCATGTGTCTTTTGATGCTGAACCCTCTAGCAGCAGATGTACAAAGGATGAGCTCTTGTTAAAGCAGCCATTTTGTAACAATGTTTCTTATGAAAAGCCTTTACCACTAACTCCGTTGGAAGGTGAAGAAGGCATCCTAATGACCAAAGAAAATAGCATCGAAGATCAGGTGTCTTTACCAGAGATCCTTCAGAAGAATCACATGTCAGAACCTTCATTCTTAGAGTCCCAAGAAGCTCTCGGAATTTCTGTGGTTTTGAAAGAAGCAACTGATCTCGACTCACCGCCAGGTGGAGATAAAAGATCACCTGCTGGTAAGAAAACAAGAAAGAAATGTCTGGAGTATTACTGCTGAATGTTCACATGTGTGTCCCCTTGATGTACAGAACTCTGCTGTTGGGAGTAGTTCTAGCATTCTTCTTCTAAGCATGTTTAAACCTTTTGAACTTTCAAGTTGGGATGTTGTTTCTGTTGTTTGTGCAGGATCTATGGGACACTGAATCATTTTTCCCTTAGGAGTGATTATGGTGTTAATGTACAATCTTTAATAATGATTATGATATTGTAAAATTCAAGTACTCATTAACAGAGTCTGTCAAAGAAAACTGAAAGGAACTTTATCTTACAGTACTGATTTAGCCATGGTGACTAAAATAGTAATTCAAAAACTAAAAAGAATTTCTGTTTGTCTGTTTTTTTAGAAGCTGATGCTACTTCCGTGCTTAGAAGGGAGAATAAGCCAAGAAATTCTTCTGAGAGCCCTGAACTGGAAAGTACAGAGAGTAAGGAGGATATGAGAATGCAGGTTCACAGAGATCCAGCTTCAGTAGAGATGGATTACATCCTTGTTACTGAGGAAGAAAATATGCCTTCAGCAAGGGAAAGTGATTTTGTGTTTCAAGAGGCTGTTGTACCTGGACAAACAGAATCTAATGAAGGCTTTTCACGAAGCCCATTGGATACCTTTCAGTCAATCTCCATAATAAATGAAAGGGAAGACCAATCTGCTTGTGGGGCTGAATGGGACTTAGATGAGAAAAGCTCTTCTGTTGTTGTGCCTCAAAAACTCGAGGATGGAAGGGAATCAGGAGAAAGATTTGGGCAAGATGAGGGTTGGATTATATTGGGCCAAAATGAAGTCTGTGATATATCATCTGGGGAAATTTCTGCTGAGTCAGAGATGCCAAAATTTGAGTCTGGACATTGTGGCAAAGTAGCAGAAACTGCTGGAGGGCAGGAATCAACTCCTGAAACTCAAGTAGAATTTCAGGTAGAAACTTCTTTTACAAAATCATTTGAACACAAAAGCTGTGCTTCCTTCGATGCGCTGTCTATGACAGTTTGGCTATCACAAGAACACATGCTTTTGTATTGCAGGAGGATGATGGTAATGGTGCGTGGGAAACAAATAATCAGCAGGAGCTTGGGAATAACACATTCACAGAACAAGAACTGAAAGAAGAGTCTGTGCTTCTCAACAGTGAAAGAAAACTGAGTGAGAAATCAGGGTAAGAAAAAAAAAACTATCTGTTTCTTTTCAGAAGTCTTCTGTTCTTTAGTTATCAAAACTATCTGTTTCTTTTCAGAAGTCTTCTGTTCTTTAGTTATCAGAGTTATTAAATTCTGTGAGATCATTAAGAGACGTCAAGACTTTCAAATCTGAAAGTTTTATTTATGTCATTTAAGTATCACTGTATTCCTCACTGTATCAAAACAGAATCTTGATTCTTGGTTGCTTGAGTCTGAATCGAATTAGGATTCTTTTGTAATGCTGGAAGATCGTAAATCCACTTCCTTGCAGAAAAAATCTGCCTTTGACCAGGTCCAGTAGACTTCATAACCTACATTGAAGTCTGAAACAGATGTGGCCGGGATATCTCCTGGGCTAGGTACTGGTGGTAATTCCTGTATAAATGCAGCGCAATGCCAGTGATGAGATTATGAAGGCACTGAAGTGAAATATTATTTCTGCCTTGTGGAAAAATGTTTGGAATGAAGACAGGAAGCAGTAGACATGTAGGGTCAGAAGAAGATACGACTTTTAGAAGAAAATAAAGGATGATGGAAAATTGCTATCCTTGTAGTTATTTTCAAGCTCTAATCAGATCTGAGCAACATTTTTCTCTGTGCAGGCTGGCTTGGTTGTTGAGACAGTTTTAGTGTATTTGCATCTCCCTTCAGGTGAATGTGCAACCTCTGTGTCTATAGCTTTAGTGACTTCCACCAGACGGATAGAGGGGTGACTGGACTCCATTTACTGGACCGTTTTAGTGCTTCTGTTGTTGTCTTGTCTTTTACAAGCAGAGATTGTAACTGATCTAGTGATGCAAGTATGGAAGTCTGGCTTCATTTCTCCTAGACTGCAAGGTCTGCAAGTGCTAAGGCTTGCAATTTTACATGATGGAAACTGGCTTGGTGTTTATATAGTGAAATTCTTGTAAGCAACAAAAGAAAATTCCCAGTAGAAAAGAGAGATGTCACTTCTTCACACTTCTTTCTCCTTTTCAGTTGCACTTACCCAAAACAGTGTGTTTGGTATGAAATGTGGAAAAATGCTGTTTTTCTGAAATACGTGACTGATTTTCTATTCCAAATTTTCCTAAGCACTTCAGAGTAGACACATGACATCCACAATTTCTGTTATCAAGTTCTGACTTACAATTTATTTTAAACATTTTTCTTCTTGTATTTTCACTAACAATTTGGCAGTTTTAGAAATAAGCTCTTTTTCTCTCAAAGGTGTCATGGGTGTCTGTGATATTGTGATATTGCTAATAGCAAATACAAATAGTCTCTGACAGAAAAGTGCAGCTTTTTATTAACCCAAACATAGCACTTCACGGCCTATTAACATTTCCAAAATGAGGAGTTCAGTAGCTGTGATTTTATCTTCCCCCAGATTTGTTAAAATACCTCCCCTCTACATATATTTGTACATTTATCAGTGTGTGTTAATAGCACAAGATCACACACTGTAATAGCTGAGCTGTTTTTAATATGGAATAAGTGCTTTGTTCATTCTAAACATAATTTCAGTCTTAGTGAAAAGTAACAATATTTCTTGCAAGTTTAAACTTTATCATCTTAGGTTGTTTTAACACACAGTATTTTGAGTTTTATTCCTTACAGCCTAGCACTGTCCCTGGCTGAAATTTCCTCATTTTCTAAGCACAAGACTGGAAGAATATATATGATTAGAAGGGCAATGCTTCTGTGGAGCAATGACAACTTTAGATGGTGTAGGTTAGCATTTACTGTCTTCAAGAAAAGGGCAAAGGAGAAAGAGTGGTGGGAGATACGTGCCACTGAATTCTGTGTTGTCTGAAGTAAACGAAATGCTGAGTGCTTGACCTTGAAATCATCAAAGTAAAACTAGTTAGCATAAAACATTTTTGTTGCAAGCAGTACACCAAATTTCTAACTTATATTCTAGAAGGAAAAGCTGAAATATTGCAATTTTATACAAAAGAGAAATCTGGGAAAAGCAAAACAACCCAAGTCTCTAAGCAGCAGTTTTGAATCCACATTATTGTGTGGAAAAGTGTCTTGGGATTTCTTTATCTAGAAACACGAAACATTCCTTGGCTCTAACATGATCTGCTTGTTAGGAATAGCCCTGGAAACTTTCCTCACCACTGTCTTTGCTGGATTTCACTGGGAATTTATCTTTTCTTTTTTGAAACAGGCAAGTAATTTCTAGTGAAAAGCTTTAAAATGAAAAAATGCTTATCACCTCTGCTCACAAAAAAAAACAAAGAAAAACTAGGTAGGAAAGGAAAGAGCGGGAGTTGTTTGGAGGCTTGCATGTAGGCTCACAAATCTCATATGAACAAATTGGCTGTTAAATCCTTTGTCTTCCACAAAAAAAAAAATTTAAATTAAAAGCAGCCAGATGCTGACCCTGCTTAAGTCACACTGACTAATTGCATGTAGGCAGCATCCTGGGGTTTGAGTTGCCATGCTTACATGCTGGTGATGCTAGTGTTCCAGAGAGGAAAAAAGAACTGTTCCAGGTGTCTGCTTTTAAATTACTTTTTAAATCAGCTGAATAGAGTTGAGATTTTGAAACATGAAGATACCTCGTGAGATCACTCAAAAAAGCCTGTGGTTTTCACATTTATAGTGACACAAGAGAAATAATCTTTATGGCCATGGATAAATAGGTATTTTGCACTTCTTTTTGCTATGGTTTATTGAATCCATTCTATGAAGTAATCTACCATTATTTAGGAATTTCTGTAAAAAAAGTAAAAACTTGAATCTTTTATACAATACCGGTTTTTATTCATCCAGATTTCAGATGTAGAATATCAATTATTCTTATGGAGTAGTATACTCTTTTCAACTCCTTCCTCAATTAAAGTCAAAACCATAAAATACCATAATATTTTCTCTAAACCACTAGGAGTATTTTCACTTAAATGTGTGGTGGAATGCAGTGCATCCTGTAAGGAAAGGAGACAGTGATCCTTGTTGTAGAAACTTTGGAAATTTCCATTACAGGATCTTTTTTATCTGAACCAACAATGGCTGTTGTGCATAACAAATGTATTTTCAGGTGTAGCAGTGGTTGTTTCTGCACCTCTATTCCCCAGGGGTCAGTACTGGTGCCTGTCCTGTTTAATATCTGTATTGATGACCTGGATGAAGGGATTGAGCACACCCTCAGTAAACTGGCAGATGACGCCAAGTTAGCAGGAGGTGTCAATTTCCTAAAGGAAAGGCCCTACAGAGGGATGTGGTCAGGCAAGATAGCTGGGCTGAGACCAGTGGGATGAAGTTCAACAAGACCAAGTACCAGGTCCAATACTTTGGCCACAACAACCCCAGGCAATTCTTCAGGATTGGGGCAGGGTGGCTGGAGACTTTGTGGAAGAAACAGACCTGGGAATGTTGGTCAATGCTCGGCTGAACGTAAGCCAACAGTGCAACCAGGTGGCCAAGAAGGCCAGTGGCATGCTGGCTTGTATCAGAAATAGTGTTGCCAGCAGGAGCAGGGAAGCAATTGTCCCTCTGTATTCAATTTGGTGAGGCCACGCCTCAAGTATTGTGTTCAGTTTTGGGCCCCTTACTACAAGAAAGACATTGAGACCCTGGAATGTGTCTGGAAAAGGGCTGTAAAGCTGGTGAGAATCTGGAGCACAAGTCTTGCAATTGGTGGCTGAGGGAGCTGGGGCTGTGTTGTCTGGAGAAAAGGAGGCCCAGAGGAGACCTTATAGCTCTCAACTACACTCTGAAGGAGGTTGTGGCAAGGTGGGGTGGGCCTCTTCTCCCACACAACTTGTGATAGAACTGGAGGGAACGTCCTGAACTTGCACCAGGGGAGATTCAGGATGGACATTGGGAAATACATTTTCTCTGAGAGAATGGTAAGGCATTGGAACAGGCTGCCCAGGGAGGTAGAATCTTTGTCCCTAGAGGTGTTCAAGAAACAGTTTAGGTCTTGTATTGAGAAACATGGGTTAATGGGGAAATATGGTCTTGGAGGTCTTTTCCAACTTTGATGATTCTATGATTCTACTTAAGAGTAACGCAGCTGAAGCCCAGAGAAGTAAAGAAGAGCAAATAAGTCATTCAGCATCTGCATTAACAAATATTTATGGAGGCATAGAACCTTTGGTTTTGCGTTTTGCTGTTTGTTAGCAGCGTTGCTAGCTGTTATGTGCTGATAAGGTACAAACTCTAATGATAATACTTTTCACCGTTACTATTATTCCTTTTTTATGAGAATTTCTTACAGATAGAGATTGCTTTACAGTGCAGTTACCTCCTCGTGTTCTCGTGTAATTTATAGCTGATTTTCACTGAACTTATGTCAATCTTTGGTCAGTTAGATAATGGCTTCAGACTTTTTAGAGGATTGAACAGATACACACAGGTGACCCTACAGGTACCCAGCAGTGTGGCTGTAGAGGCTTTGATTTGCCCAGCTACAGTGTGATGTTGGAGGGCTACAAGCTTTTCAAGAAGAGATTGTCAGGGAAAGAGGGATGAGATTTCCCTCTACGTTAAGAAGAGGATACATTGCAGAGAGCTGCCTCTGAGAACAGCCATGACCAGGTTGTGAGTTTGTAGATAAAAATCAGGGAGCAAATCAATTAAAGATATGTAGTGGTCAGGGTCTACAACAGGTCACCTGAACAGAGAGATTGTGTGAATGAGGCCTTTTTGCTTCAACTGCAAGATTTTTTATGCTTGCAGGCTATAATTTTGGTGAGAGTTTTCAACCAGCAGAATGTCTTCTAGAAAGGCAATGCCATGGGCTCCAAGCAATCCAGAAGACACCTGAGTTCACTGGATAGCTTCCTGGTCCAGCTGTTACACAAACCAACCAGAGTTGAAGTGTCACTGAACCTGGTGCTCAATAATGCAGAGGAGCTCATTAAAGAGGTTAAGATTGGAAACAATTTGAGCTGTAGCAATGTCTTGGTTGAGTTTCTGATATGAGGAATACGGCCGTGGCAAAGAGCAAAGGGAATTATTGGGTGAGACTCTGTTGGGGGCTTTT